GTCTTTTATATTAAATGTTCTAGTATTTGCATATAACATACCCACATCCTCCTATATATTTTAATTATCTCTAGATTTCTTATTATACCTAATATAATGTAAGTGCTATGTAAATAGTTGTTATCATGTATTGTTTAAGGGATAATTATAGGAAAAAAATGTCTGTACATAGGTCTGACTACATAGTATATGTCAGCAACAACATAACAGATTTTTTTCTAATATATTTGATCTGTTGTTGGTTGAATCCAAAGTTGGAAAACCCATGGATATGGAGAGCTGTCATGTTCAAATTAATGCTACTTTAAAATAGAGACACAAAGATGATTAAACAGACTTACCACCCTGAAATCTTAAAATGAGGAAGCTTGCAAGAAATATATAAATAACTGTAAATCCAGTCTGAGTTTGATGAGAGCAATATCATAGACATATAGGTTATGGGGCTTCAAATGGAGGAATCAAACGTGGTTGTGATCGTAAGAAATATCAACAAAGGACACACATTCTGATTAAAATTTAAAGGTTAGGATTATAGATAATGGCAGACATTAATGAGGCAACATTAGAAAGAGAAGAAATGGCCTGGGAAAATGTTTGGAGAGAAAAGTTGGGAATGAGAGAGATTACGAATCAGGCTGGTGCTGAGGAGCATCCTCCAGAGACTCCCAGGGTGATATCACTGACGGATGGGGACGATTTGTACACATGGCTGGTGGCCATTGTGAGCTAAGTGTCCCAAGTTTTTGAGATACATAGTAGAGTAAGGAACTGAACTCATTTTCAAATTGTTCACAATTGAAGTCAATGTTGAACAAGTTAAAATAAAGGTAACAACGTTCAGTTGAGATCTGTATTTTCCCCCTGCGCTAGAGGTTAAAGTACTGACATCTGTGCTATGACCTACGAGCTACCGATTATATCATACCTCCTCCAGTTTCTCTGAGTCTTCTTGAAGTATCCAATGAATTATTTCAATTGGTCAATTTACTCAAAGAGTTCTACAATTTCACTACATTAAGCATACCTTTCTAACTGAACTAATCAATTTTCTCCTGCCTCAGGGCCTTTGCCCTTCCTCACTTTTCCCTCTGCCAGGAATGGTCTCTCCTCACCATTAGTGTGGCTTACTCCCTCCAGTCTGTCCAAGTTGCTCTCACTGAGCTCATTCCTGACCACCTCATTACACTGCACAACCTCACCACAATCTGCTTTATTTTTCTTCGTAATCTTATTATTTTCTGATGTACTATGTACTTTCTATATTTATCTTATTGTCTTATCCCCACCCCAAATGGCCAAGGAGTGTCTATTTTATTCATGAATGTTTCCCTAATGCTTAGAAGAGTGCCTAATATATAGTAAATACTTGATAAATATTAAATTAATATTTATGCAAATAAACTGTATGCAGTATTTATTTTTAATATGTTTTTATTGATTTTACAGCGAGACAGGAAGAGAGAGGAAGAGTGAGAGAAACATAAATGAGAGAGCGGAACATGGATCTCCTCTGATCTGCTGCCTCCTTCATGCCCCCTCCTGGGGATCAAGTCCAAAACCCTGGCATGTGCCTGACGAAGAATTGAACTGGGACCTCTCAGTGTACAGGATGATGCTTGACCGACCAACTGAGCCACATGGACAGGGCTATACGCAGTATTTATATGATAATTTGAGACAGTTATATGTTACTTTATAGGACTTTACTGTTCTAACTACTGTTTCTCATTAACTTGTCTGAATTAGGAGAATTTATAGAGCATCTACCATCTAACCAGGATTGAATCTGGTTCTTAAAAAACAAGTAGTAGCCCTGGCCAGTTTGGCTCAGCGGTTAGAGCGTCGGCCTGCGGTCCGGAGAGACCCGGGTTCGGTTCCCGCTAAGGGCACGTACCTTGGTTGCAGTTTGTCCCCGGCCCTGGTTGGGTCGTGTGGGTGGCAGCCACTCGATGTGTCCCTTTCACGTCGATGTTTCTCTCTCTCTCTCTCCCACTCACTCTATCTGAACAAAATATCGAAAAATGTCCTCGGGTGAGGATAAAAAAAAAAAAAAAAAAAAGAAAAAAAAACAAGTAGTAGGTAATAGCTCTTATATTTAAAAAACAAGAGGGGAATGACAAATAAAATAAGAATGCTATGGGATTTCAGCTGCCACTTTAAAGAAGGAAACAAAGCTATCCCGACATTTCCAGGGGTTGCCTCCCATGGAACATTTGCTAGATCTGAATGAATAGATGCTCCCAGTACCAGCATGGGCTTTGAAATGACACAGAGCAGAATTCAAATCCCAGTGATCCTGTTCCATGTGGATAGTCATCCACACCACCACGGCCTATTCATGAACTTCTCTGGGCCTCAGTGATTTCAAGTGTAAAACGAAGATCACAACCTTAACCTCACAGGGAAAATGTGAACTATCAAACGAGGTCATTTGTGGAAAAAATTAGCCACGTCCTTGGCACATAGAAGCAATTAAATAAATAACATCTGGAATGAATTAACTCTTGATCAGTGGGGAAAGATGTGACTAGAAAAATGTGGCTTCTTCATTCTGTTTCTACTGTGTGGTACCCCACCTCTGCCTTTACTCATGGTGGTTCCGCTTCCCTCCATATCATTAAAATAGTGAATTGCAATATATACTGACAGATTCTTATGTAAATTATCATTCCCTTTGTAAATTTTACAGATAAGGAAATTGAGTCTCAGCAGCTTCAGTAACTTACACAGACCATAAAGTAAGCAGTAGAGTTAGGATTTCAACCCAGACAAACTTGTCTCCAGAGCCAGTTCGGTTGTCTTGAGGCTCACCTTAGTCTGCATAGCGATGTGATCCCGTATCTAAACCCGCAAGCTGGATATTATACCTCTCAGAGCTCACATAGAATCTTACGCATGTTACTCCATAATTTAGGGTAATTTTGAAAACATATTTGTTTCTCTTCTTCCTATGTCTGTACATCACCTTCTAGAAACACCTCTTCAATGTGTATAACTAATGCTGCTTTTAGATCTTGAGTAGGTTTTCTTTCTCTGAGCACCTTTCACAAGAAGTTCATGGAAACCCATAAAAGCTAATGTTTCTTGAACATCTACAGGGTATCCCAAAAGAATGTATACAGGGTGTCTGTAGATTCTATTACATTTTGAAAATGAAATGTATTTTAATAAACACTGACTTTATAATTGTTCAAACTTGTGTACACATTTTTGGGGGACACCCTATATTTCGCAGTAGGCTCTGGTCTAATTGCTCTACCATTCGGCTCATACATTCCTCATCACACCCCTGTGTGGCAGGAACCACCTTTATCTTCATAATCCAGAACTGGGGTTTGAACCCACCCATTTAGATTCCAGAGCTCAATTCTTTTTTTTATCCTCACCCGAGGATATTTTTCCATTTTTTTACAGATAGAGTGGGAGGGAGAGAGAGGAAGGGAGAGAGAGAGAGAAACATCGACGTGAAGGGACACATCGAGTGGCTGCCACCCGCACGACCAACCAGGGCCGGGGACAAACTGCAACCGAGGTACGTGCCCTTAGCGGGAACCGAACCCGGGTCTCTCCGGACCGCAGGCCGACGCTCTAACCGCTGAGCCAAACTGGCCAGGGCCAGAGCTCAATTCTTAATCATGAAGTTATATTGCCCCTTATACATTAGGACTGATTACATCTTCTTTTCTTCTTTTTTTAAAAAAATATGTTTTTATTGATTTTTGGAGATAGAGGAAGGGAGAGGAAGAGAGAGATAGAAACATCAATTGGCTGCCTTCTGCATGCTCCCCATTGGGGATCAAGCCCACAACCTGGGCATGTGCCCTGACCAGGAATCGAACTAGCAACCTCTTGGTCCATGGGACGATGTTAAACCTTGAGCCACACCAGCCAGGCTTTTTCTCTTTCTTTAAAAATCTGAGGGAATCGCTTCTCGGCCTTTTGGCTAAGATCAAGTGTTATCTGTTCTTATCAGTTTAAAAATGTGAGGAACATGCATTTTTGTAGAGTCCAAATTGTATGTCTATGAACTATGACTCTCCTACATTCATCAAGCTTTTGTCTTTCCTGTAACACTAACATCTGCAATTAGTCCAACCTTAAAAACTTATTTAAATAAAATAGATAAATTTATAATCTGATAGGAATCCCAAAATTTTAGGTCAGCACTTGTGAAAAGTTGTTAGTGGTACCGCCACCCTCCACCCCATCTCAGAAGTACCATGCTGGTGGTCTTTGCCGCCTTAAATAGCCCAAGCTGTGCTCTTAGAAGGTACTGGAATTTAAACCATAACCTTGCATAAATTCAAAACCAAAAATAAACTTTAAAAAGACATCTATCCTTTCAGTACCATCTTTTTTAAAACTTTCTAAGTAAAATGATTTAAACACAGAGCCTATTTTAAGAGAGAGCAAAGAATGTGTTCATAACAAGTTGGAGGAGCACGCGAGAAAGGACACGCTGGCTTCCCTGCTATCTGAGCGACAGAATGTTAAGTCACTAGGGGGAGAGTCAGCATGTTCTCTGAGAAGACAAGTAGGTGAGCGTCAGAAAACTTTGTCCAAGAAAGGGAACAAGAGAATAAGCCGTGCACACGAAAGTTATAATTTGAAAAACTATTTTCCAGAAACGTTTTAACTGATAAATAGGACGATTAGCTAAACAAAGCCATCAACATTTTCCATATGAATTTTTTTTTTTTTTAAATATGGATCTTTCAAGTGTGATCAGTCAACACACCTCCCTCTTTACCTATGTTTCTTCTATAAGACCTGATTAATCAGTGGTTATAAAACTTACAAAAGATCATTAGCCCCCGTCCCCTTTGTTTCTGTAATGGAACAGTGCCCACATCCACCAGGCACACAGGAACTCTTCCCGAGTTACAATGTAGAAAAAGTGCCCCGGTCTCTCCTAACACACACGCACTCGTTAGGTTCTTCTGTGCGGTTCAACTCACGCATTCTCACTCAGCACGGAAAGAAAGAAGCCCTCTTACCATATATTCCATGTTTGCTGCTGGTGGGAACACTTTGCCCCGAACCTGGTTGTGATAGTCAAGAATGGCGATCATGTCATTTTGCGAAATGTAGCGCTTCCGCCGGGCTCTGGGGGTGTCCGCAGCCTCGAGCGGAGCCTTCCGAGCCGCTTCGGTGTCAGTGAAGTTATTGGTTGGCGAGGATGAGTCAGTGGAATTGAGTAAGACAACAGCGCTTGCTTCCCAGAGAAGCGAGAGCAGGAGCGCGCTGCTGACGGCAGAGCTTGCTGGCATTTTGAGGGTGGAGGACAGGACGCCAAGTTCACTTTGCTTGAAATCGAAAGGCAGAATTGGGGTCTATGAAAGGGGCGGAAAAAAAAAAAAAAAGAATGGGGCCAGAGAGTATGGATTTACAAGTTATTATTTGGGAGCATTGCTTGATTTGATTTTGTCCAATAATTTCTAAACACTTGTTGAGCTCAAGCTTAGGAGACAACCTATAGAGTCTCTTTGGGTTTTACTTGGAGCTAGGAGGCAGATTCCTGAGAGGAATCTCCTACAGCCAGAGAAAAATGAACAGCATGACCACTAACCCTAAAATAAATGTGCACGTTTGTCCCCAGTTGCCTGCACCACAGAATGCATTGCTCCGTTGGTACTTTCAGAGGGAAATCTTTAGGAATTAAAATTCATCTTGAGAGTGAAGAGGGGGAAAATGCATCACAGGTAACAGTAGAGATGTGCTAATAATGTCTCCCAGACACATATGGACACCAAGTGAGAGAAACATACAAAAGAGCCATAACTATCCAATCTCATTTCTAAAAGTTAAAAAAAAAAATTTTTTTAATGTGAACTACTTTAAAATCAATGCATGCAAATAAACTGGTTGAGCTAAATAGCTTACCTCTGCACAATGCCAAAATGAATATTTTGTTCTTCCAAAAATTTAAAGTTCTTTGCTAGGTTGTAGTATAAACCCCTGTAAGAGGAGTGTGTCTTATTACAGCTCTCAGAGAGCAAAAGTCTGCAAGGTTTGAATGCTGCTGGCTACGGGAACAGCTAACAGCTTTTATATGTCACAGTCAGCAACGTCCAGAAAGGGCAGTCTTTCTTAGGGTCTCTCCTAGCCAAATCAAAGGGGAGGGGTTTAGGGTAGGAATAAAAACCCAGCGATTGGGTGGCAACCTTTTTTTATGTGGGTCGGTGCTGAGGAAATTGAGTTACACCCACCGCTTACAAAGTTCAGACCATAAAAGAAAAACCTCTTTTTCTTTGGGCTTCCACCTTTACTCTGAGTGGTTAACTTCCCTCATTGAATAGTTTCTAGTTCCTGGTTCCCATACAAAAGGAAGAAAGAAAAAAGAAAAAGTATGTGAGTTCTTAAAAACACAGATGACTGAGTACCAAGGAGTACATTTTTAAAAGCCAGTCAATGATAGGGGAGCTGAAAAGAACAAGCTGAGATTAAATGAAAAGATCAGCTCACAGAGTGAATCTGGGTGGCCACAAATATGATCCAAGAGGGATGCCAGGCTAATCAGGAGTAGCCAAACTATAGCATATGATATTAGGATAATAGATGCTCAAGTGATTGTTCTCTGTCTCCATGTGGCTTTATTCCTCTAATTTCTATATTTATTCTTTCTCTCTTTTGTTCTATCCTCCGTCTCCCCGTTTTCTTTCTCTACAAAGTGAGGCAGCAAATTACCTGCCTTTTACCTGCCTTGTATGTAATGCAAATCGACAAGCCCATGGCAAATGACGGCAGCCAAGATAACATCTGTTTCAGATTTAGAAGCATATAGTTAAAATTTTAAGCGGAGAATAGCCCAGCTTCTCAGGAAGCGTATTGGAGGGCACTGCACAGAGCATGAAGAATTTAGCAGCAGCAGCGGTCGCCAGCAGTGAGAAGTGCCTTCTTAGAAAGATGACATCGGAGCAAAATCCGTGTCCGGCGAGACAAGAGCCAAGAATGCAAGTATCAGGGACAATCTGCAATAAAAGCACCCTCAGAAATGCCATGTGTCCTGGTGAACACTAACAAAAGGTGGCCCCGTCACAGTGAGTGGTGACAGGAATCCTGGAAAATATACAGTTTAACAATGTGCCGACTTGTCCATTGTGCCGCTGCGCTTGTCTCCTGCACGTTTCTGCAGGAGGAGTAAGTACTACGTGAATTCACAGTCATCAGAAATGATGGTCATGTGGTTAGAAGTACTCCAGACTGAGAGCCAAGTTTCCTGGGCTCTATTCCCAGTTGGATCTCCAGCAATATGTGTGGCCTGATGCATGTTTCTTTTAACTCTTTATTAGTGCATCTAAAAGGGGAGGGGCAAGGTGTATATTCTATGGTGAGAATGACTTTATCTAATTCTTCAGGAAAGCCGTGGAATGTCTGAAACAGGAAGTGCCACCGAAGTTCAAAGTCCAGTGAGGGATGTTGATAGCATGTGCCAATGTTCAGGTGTTGCTGTATTTTGATGAGCATCAGGCTCTTAAGTGAAGTCATTTTAGGAGAGCTCAATTTGCAGTACTGAAAGCTGTAAATAAGACTTAACACAAGTGTTGAAAAGGCAAGACCATGTAAGGGCAGGAGGTTAGTAGGAACAGTGTGAAACATTAGAGCAGCTGGAGGAAATGCAAGTGGCCGCTCACAGCTGCAGATGTTTAACAACTGGAGCTGTCCAGCTAGGGTCTCACCCCTTCAGAAGGGCTTTGAATGAATCTCAAGCATGCTGTGTTAAAGATTTCTGAATAGAATAGGAAGTTACACAACATACTCTCCGTGAGCTATCCAGCTCAAAGGTCCTAGGACCTTTTGAGAAATTAGTGATAACACTGAGTAGCCTATACTTTTCAACATATGTCATATAGCCAACCAGCATATAGGGACAATAGGACTTTTAATGCATAAGCAGTAGACACGAGCCTTTCTTTCTCCAGGGTGGCTGAGTTCTTGCTTAGAATCTCATAAATATCAACCGTTGCTTTTAAGGTTAAATCTTTGTCATGCACACAAAGAGGTATTGTCTATTTCCCAGGGTTTGACCTGAGGGACTTCCACGTGAATAAAAAAGCGTTCCCTGAGAAACTTGTCTGAACCATAAATGAGCTTCCTGTAAAAGAAAGTGGATGAAAAGAGGAGAAAGAAATAAATAATTTCTGAGACAGACGTAAACATGCCCAGTTACAAGAGGGCAGACCTGAGACGTGTCAATGACTTCAGATGTCTTTTAACACACATGGATTATATTGTGGAATTTTGGACTATTAAGGAAACCGACAAGGCTATGGAATCATAAAAAATAAAATAAAAAAAAGACCTGTGGGAGGAGAGTTAAGAATTAAGAATTCTGCTTCCAAGCAGATGTTATTGCCAGAAGTATTTAAAATGCTTCAAAAGTAATTTTAATTTAAAATACTTGCAAAATTAAGAGGCATGCATCCAAGTTGTCAGTAAAAGAACTATTAATGAACAAGTAACAATGAGGTGGTTCTTTACGAGATCCCTTCTTGAAAAAGATGCCTGACATGCTTAGAAACCTTCAAGGAGTGCTTGCCAACGGAGACAGAAGTGGAATGCAGTTATATTACCAAAAGGAAATAACGTATACGATTGGCAGCAACTATGTCGACCTTGAAACTTGTAAGAAAGTGATTGGGATTTTAAAATTGCAATCAGATACATTATAATTGTCTCAGAATGGCATACCTGCTTAAGAAAAGGTACTCTGGGTGGGTGTGTGTGTGTGTGTGTGTGTGTGTGTGTGTGTGTGTGTACAGATGAGCATGTGGCTTTAGTCAAAATTCCTTCTAATCAAAATGGTTCCGTGGACCACTGGCATTGACATCATGGGGAGCTTGTTAGAAATGCAGAATGTCGGGCCTCATCTAAGATCCACTGAATCTGAAGCTGCATTTTATCAGAATCTTCAGATGATCCATATGCTCGAAGACTGAGAAGTACTGTCTAAATTTTTTTCGGAGATGCTTAGCCATCACCTATGGCATGCATGCCCATTAAATAAGTTCTTCATAATGTCCATTTGTCTAGTATCATGGGGAGAATCAAAGACAATGTAGGAATACACAAGCATCTTTGAAGAGGGGAACACAAGTCAACCTCTGCTTCTTAAGGAAAAAACGATGACTGCACATAGCATCTCCCAAAGAAATGACTCAGCAGTGATCACAGCCTTTTTAAAATTACTATATAAACCCTATCTGTTATTTAATACATATTAATTTATCACAGAGTTGTTGAAACAATGGAAAGCAGTATAAATAAAGTGTTTTATAAATTGTGATGTGCCATATAAACAGAAACTATAACTTCACTCATCATCCCCGGGACGCAAGCCCAAATTGTCCTCTGTTCCTTACTCTTTCTCAAATTATTTTTTAATAAACTCACTTGCTCTGTAAAACATGGGAACTTTTATCCCTGAAATGTGTCAGAAATCTAATCCTTTTTTCTTTTATCATTATTATGACTACTTAAAGTTCATCTCATTATCTTTTCTAGGATTACTCTAATGTCTCCCCTCTCATGCATTATCAATGTTGTCTTTGGTTACCTTCCTAAAATTCAGTCAAACCATTTCACTCATTTACATATAACTTCTCTGTTGGCTCTCCATTGCCCATAGGATCAAGTTCAAGTGCACTGACTGGCCTTACAAGGTCCTTGAGAATATAATCAGTTTACCTTTTAAGCCTTATTTGCTGCAACCATCCTTATCTATTTCTCTATTCCAGGCACACCTATGCCCCTTTAACCACTCTTTTCTCTGTTGGCTTTGGTAAGTGAACATGCCCATGTGTGGTTTTCCATTGGCTAGGGTGGCAGCCTTTTTGCCTCTGATAATGTGTATTAGAAAAGAGCTTAGCAAACAGTAAGGTAACATTACATTAGTTTTGCATTAGCCTATCTTTAATAAATTATTCTATTCCTTAATTATGTCTCATATAGCATTTTAGTCTAAAAGAACTTTGCAAGTTTATTTTTTTAACCTACTTAGCCATTTATAACCACTAATCAATCTAGAGTATATATAGAGGGTAATTTGATGAAAGATGGAGGCTTTGTGAGAATGTTTGAGTTTTGCTGTCTAATGTGTATTTCTACTTTGTAAGTTTATAAGTAGAAATACACAATAGAGAATCATGAATTTATTGGATTTAGAAAATGTGCAGAATTTTGGCTCAAATAAACTCTTGAAGGACTTTTTATTAGGAAAAAAGAAATAAAATATGCAAAATAAACACAAAATATTTTCAAATTTCAAATTTTGTTTAATTAATAATACA